TAATGCAGTTTGGAAAGTTATATATTCAGTAAGGGATTGGAAAAAAACTCAAACCACATAATATATAATAAACTTATCTTTTAAACCGATATTAACAACAACATTCATAAAAAACATTCACCAACAACAAACAATAACCAACAAACACAATACAACACACATATCAAAGCATAAAATGCTTCAGAAGCATACCATACATGTCAAGTCCCATAATGGCGTGTCAACAATGAAATAAGGATGAAGATAAATTTAAATCAGCAAACATATGTATATTTTAAATCGATGTTATTCTGGATCTTTGACACAAGTTTTTCAGGCTAAATTTATCTTCGTCCTCTTTATTGCAATAAGCATCCATACCTACAAGACGAAAAAAGAAAGTTCAAACATCATAAAACAAGCTATCAAAATAGATTTTGAAAAAAAAACTACAGAGAAAATGAACCTGTAAATACCCATTGGCTAAGATTTGTTGTTATGGTACCGCTTTGGGGTTTCCATATGAGAGAGACGAGTGATAAAGTTGTTAGGGCTTTGTTTTGAGAGACGAGTGTACGAATTGTTAGGGTTTTGTTTTGAGAGAGACGGTTGTTATGTACTGAAGCGATAGATAATTTCGCTTATATATAAATAAATATCACATTTCCTCACGGTTGGTAATAAAAACCGAGGTGATATACATGGTTAATAACATTTTTTTATCACGATAAATGGCTAATCGTTGGTGATGGAATTCAAATCATTTCACTCAGTGTATTTTTCACTATGGTTACTACATTTGACCGTTGTGACATGTCCTCTAATAAATAAAATAACAAATTTGTGCCCAAGATTAATTTATTACCACGGTTAACATTATGGTCGTCGTAATATTGGTGTTACGAAAAGCTTATTTTATAGTAGTGAGAAAAATCAAATAGTTATAATGAAAAGAAAAAAAGAAAAAATATGATTTTGATAAAACAAAAAGAAAGAAATTAAAAGTAAAAATATACAATAGAAAATTACCAAAATAAGAATGGTTGTAAAAAGTAGAAGCAAAGAAAAAGACTTTTTGAAAAATAAAGATTTACAATAAAAATTGTCTCTCTTATCTTAAGACTTTTTAAACTAAGAAAATAAACCAATATTTTTTTGTAAGCTCAACCACATTATAACTAAAAGAAAGACCTTAGTGATCCATGATTGATAATGTATCTCATAATATTTCTTATATGAAATGCAAAATAATTTTATAGTTCGTTCATTGTCCAAATTATGAGGAAAATACTAACCATTAAGAGATACTCAGTGAGATCATGATTCTAACGAATAATCGATTGTTGATCTAAACATGTTTAAAACTATTACTTTAGTCAAACAAGTAGTTTATCTACATGCTAGAGTTTGTGGATATTTATGATGTTGATCATGAATTTGCATTAGAAATAATATCATGTTGATCATGAGTTCGCTAGGCCAGGTCCATGGGCACGCTAGGGGAGCACATGGAAGAGATGACTTCGAGACTAAGTTACTTCATGGTGAAGAAAAGTTTTATACGCTAGTCAAAGATGGGAGGTTCACCTAGAGAGCTAAGGCGGTTAGGATGAGTTGACATTACTTAACTGGGAAGAAGGAAGGCACACTAGGCTGATATGGACTGTGCGCCTAACGAACCTACCGTTCTCAGGCCTATAATAGGGTGTGTCAGGTTCATTTCAAAGGGAGTTCTTGTGGATTTAAGGTAGTAGGTTCACTATGAATCTCAATAGGAGAGAATAAGGAGAGAAAGATCGAAGGTGGAAGCGTTGTTCGAGAGGTCGTTGTAGATGTTGCTCAACCTCTTTCTTCTGGGGTTTAACTATAAAGCTACAATGAGTAAGCGTAGTTAATTCTCTTTTGTTGGGGGTTATATGTAGTCATCTTTATACTCGTGTATTAATTAAGATCATAGAGTGTTATGTAATTCTACTCAAGCTTCAATATTGACGATTCTTTGTTCGTAATGCTTTTTTAGATTAGCTACCTAAAACATGTTCTAATGGTACAACTTGGCATACAAGAGATGTGAATCGTTACTGGATCCAAGTTTCCATCTATTGTATGTTAATGTACAGAGATAAGGTTAGGTTTAATATTTGCATAATCCTGATAATTGATATCAATATCTTTATTCATTGTTGGAACTTAATGTTGTTGTATTTAATAGATCAAGAGATTGACTATATGGCAATACAATTGATATCATGATGTTAACGCCAAAGATGATTTGCGACGAGAGCAATAGGTATACGTATTAATAACTTAGTAGAATAGCATATTACTGACCAATGGTTATACATAAGGATAAGGATGACGAAATCTAACCCCAACAAGTTTTCTCACTATTAACACAAAAATGTCAATTTATTTTCTCTCATTTTATTTTTTGCAACCAATCAACTCTAAACAATTCTTACTTAGAATCATAAAAACTATTGAACTAGACTTTAAAATACAACCAGTCTCTATGGCTACGATAATATTACACTTGTTATTTTCATTGGAACATCTCACCCTCTTAATGATCTCTTTCACAAACTAATTTGAGGGATCTTCTTCTTTAGACCTAAGAATAGACACTCTTATCCACCAAGCGGACACATAACGCAAACATGAATACCTACCTCTTTTAAAGAGAAAACAACTGGAGTATCATTAGGGCTGGAAATGAGTCGAGTCGAGTCGAACTCACCTCAGCTCGGCTCGACTCGTTAAGAATTGTTCGAGTTCGACACGAACTTTTTTTTAAGCTCAAACTCGACTCGTTATAAGTTCACGAACAGTTCGGTTCGACTCGTTAGGTTCATCTCATTAGGTTCAGCTCACATGATTCACAGACTTAAAAACTATTTTTTTAAAATATATATATTTTTTAGTATATTTGACATTTTAAATAAATATTTTTTTTAAAAATAAAATATTAAAATAAAATAAAAGTTATCATATTGAAATTTAACTTTATCTTCGAAATCTACTAATTCAAAACCTACACAACTTTCAAGAGATACATTTGAGAGTCTAATTCAAAAACTACTAAATTGAAGATTTAATTTGTCTAAGATTTGGAGTAAATATTTAAACCTAATCTTAAAGACAGTATAATTCTTCTCATATCTAATCGAGTTGACTCATGAACCTAGCGAGTCGAACTATGTATAGTTCAAGTTCAGCTCATTTAATTAACGAACTTAATTTTTCGCTCATACTCAACTCATTTGGTTCATGAAACCTAGTTCAACGATTTAATTATCGAATCGAATTCCGAACTATTTTCGAGTTGGTTCGGTTCATTGTCAGTCCTAAGTATCATACTAACTACAAGAATATCAAACTAAAGACCATAAACATCAGAAATCAATATCCATGTCCATTTGACCAAAATAGTCCAATTAACCAAATTGAGTTCACTAACCCCAAGCTATCGTTACTCTTGAGTTCACTAACCCAAAAGAAATTTTAGAAAAAGACAATAAAAATATGATAATAACATTAAACATGGAGTTAAGAAGGATTACTCGACCCCATAACTAACATACCTATGTTTCTAAGAATTGAGTCTCTTAGACATAAAATAAACTAGAGAGTCCTAGGTAGCTTCCAACCACGGATTAGCATACCCATGCTTTTAAAAGGAAGACAGTCAAGCCTACAATAGAGAAATTCACCAACTAATTACAAAACGACGGAATTTAATTGACTTATGCTAGACTACTCTTAAGAAAATTAACTGGAAAGCCCAATGCTATCTAAAAACCCTTAAGAATAAACTCCATACTACACAAATTATCAATTGATGAAACAATCAAAATAAGAACATCTTTCGCATATGAAATAGATAACCATCAAATTAGATTATCCAACCCTAAAGTCGTAAATAAGGTCTAACTTAACAACTCTACTTAACAAACCGTTAAATCCTTTTGCAACAAAAAAGAAAAGGAAAGATGATAGAAAATCACCTTATTAATAATATAATAAGAATATCAAACATTTTTCCATTTCCAATATATAGATATCATAATCCTTTATTTCCATACTATTTTTGAATTTTCACCATATCTAATCGATCAACTAATCTGATTCAATGGTTTATTCTTATTCAATGGTTTATTCTATCATTAAATAGTTCCAACCCACTCTCGATGGGAGGGATTCACCCTTGAACTTTCTTATTAAGTTCATTGTTAATCACCATTAAACCATTAAAAAACATTTGTAAAAAAAGTAGTTAATTAAGTAAATAACCCGTTTTATAAACGCGTAGTAGGTTTTATCCTCTAAATAATGTTTGATTAAAAATTAATAACTTATACATTATAGCTAAGACCATGACTCCATGAAGAGAAGTACTAGTATACTATATAAGTTATAAATAAATACAAAATTAAAAACACAACAACAAGAACTTTATTACGAAATTTAGGTAGGAATTTCTTAGGACCACACACCATATATTATTGATAAAGAAAGATATAAAGAACCTAGTTTTTATAGTGGTTCATAATTCATATGGGTATATAATATATATGTAGGACATGGATTAATTGAATAAAATCGTTGACAAAATCCAATCTATATAGCTAAGATTCATATTATTCCAAACTTTAATCATCATACTAATTAGTGGACTAACTTAACAAATTATTATTTGATCAATCTCTTTGAATTTCAACCATTCAAACACTTATTCCTTATCTGGACTAACTAAATATGAATGGCATTTATTAAACCAAACAACTAAATATTTATACTAAATTTTGATATATAAAATTAATAAAAGAGTGAGAGACACGTAATAATAAATAAATAAATAAAAACACACGTGTCAAAGAAAAACCTAATGTCAAGACTTTTGAATACACGTGTTTTTTTCTTTTGAAATTATTTGCTAGAAAAAAAAATCTAATTTCTAAATTTTTCATATAATAATAATCTAAGATTATGCAAATGAAAAAAATTAGCGTTTAATATATCAATTAATTGCTGTTGTTGTTGTCTTCATTGCGCTTCAACAGTTTCTGGTCGCAGGAAGAACAAACAGGTTTTGATAAACGTTGAGGGCATAATGGAGATTGTCTTACTTTCAGTTCCTGCAACTCTTTCTTCAATCTCTTATTCTCATCACTTAGATTTTGACATTGTTTCTTCAGCAATTCATAATCTATCTCTGTTTGCTTCAGCTTCGTCCTTGCTCTCCTGTTCTGAAACCAAACTTCTATTTGTCTAGTCTTTAGCTTCAATTGATCTGCAAGTGTCTTTTTCTGCACCTGAAGACGAAATGACAATAACCACTCAAAATTCATAGACACATAACTCTGATGTTCAAGGTTGCACAAGAAATGATAATAACCACAAAAAATTCACAGACACATAACTCTAATGTTTAGGGTTGCAGACGAAAAAAATGATAATAACCACTAAAAATCAAAGATAACTTTGATGTTCAGATTGCAGACAAAATGGTAATAATCACTGAATATTCACGTACAGGTAGTTTTCAGGGTTCTGAGAATGGAGGACATACCGGATTAAGAGTATTATGGAGCTTGAAGGTGTTTTCAAGCATGGCGGATTGTTCCTTTGTCAGCCGGAGTTTCTTTCTCCGATCGGTGTTGTTGTTGTTATCGGAATCGGTGCTGCATGTTGTTGCATTGGGATAATACTCCAAACTGAATCTCTCACCTTTTTTGTTGTTATCGTTAGTGTTGTTGTTATGACTAGTATGTACTTTGATAGCTTCAGTTTTCGGACAAAGCTCGAAAGCTAGGTCGAAACAAGGTTTATTAGTTAATTTCTGCTTCTTCTTCTCCCTTTTGATTCCTAATCCAAGATATAAACCAGTGTTGCATTCTTCATCGCTGGTATCTTCCATGGCTATAGTTCTTGTGAGAGAAAGAAAAAATAGAGAGAGAAAGAGAGAAAGAATGGTAGAAAAGAAGGAATTGAAGTTTTGTAGGATTTATAGTCAAATAAATATAATAATATTATTGGGAAAGTTTGTGATTTTATTATGATGGGAAGAGGTGGAATTAATACAGATTTTATTGTTGGGTTTGGTCTTGGTCATGGAGATTATTCAATTTCAATCAGTTATTATTTGACAATGTGTAGTTTTCATCACAAAAATATTTAATTATTACTTAATAGTTTAGGTTACTAATTACTAGTATTAATAATTAATAATAATGATATTAATAAAATTGGGGGAGAAGAGAAGTAAAACCATATGCGTTAGACTTGACTAATGACTCCGTTTGGGAAACCAACACTTTTCTTAATCATCATATTAGTATTTTATATTTTTTGTTTATTGAATTAATATTTGTTTTAATATTATAACATTTCTTATGATTTTTATGGTAAAATAGTTTTTTTTTATAATATTTTAAATGGAAAATAGGAATTTTGTTTTATATAGGTCTTTGAAAAAAGGTTGAATGATGAACCTTTATATTTTTTTAGTAAAGTAATTAATTTTATAATAATACAAAGTGAAATAGATATTATATTTTATTAATATTGATTTTTAATGGTAAAGGTCTACGTTTGACCAATTTTAAAATATTTATATTACATATGTATTGAGAATAGTAATATTATTTTATTAAAATTTATTTAAAAATAAATATATACTTTAAAACATTTTTTAAAGGGCAATACTATGGCCCACAAATAAAATTAGTGTAGGTACTGGCGGAGGCAAGTATGCAAGTAAATAGGTTTGGGGAGTTTTGCCTAGGGTGTCATCGTTTCGGTTTGTATCTGTTTGTTTTTCTTTTTCTTTTACAATATTTAAATTGATGGTATTTTTATTGGTTTGATTTGGTTTAATTTTAAATGTATTTTAAAAATATAATTGAATTAAACTAATCATGGTTCCGTTTGGTTGGCGACGTATTTTTTTTAATATTATGTTTACCTATTTATTTTACGACATTTTATTCTTTTTTTAGTATTTTATGTTATTAGTTTTTAAATAATATATTTTATGTTTTACTTTTCAAACAACTTACAATTAAAATTTTTTTAATCTATACAAAACACTTACATGATTTTCATTGCACCGTAAAATAAGTTTATTATCAAATACAAAGATTGGCACTTGGCATCAGAAGATTGGGAGAGCATTTGAAAACTTAACAAACAAAACACAAAAATAAAAAACAAAAGATTTTAATACACATAAATTAACCTGTTTCATACCTCAAACACATATTAAAACTATTTCGTAGCAAGACTAGAAGAAATTTCATTAAAGAAGAAGAAACAAAAAAGATGAAAAGTAACGAAGAGAACTTGAACACGAAGAAGGCGATCGAAACATACAGAACGACGGTGACAAGAGCAACAACGGTGAGTAATGGCGCTCGGAGAGAGTAGTTGATCGATGAGAACGAGTTTTTGTGACTTATGGTTTCTACTTTCTATTGATGTAAGCCTTAGAGGTCATAGTTTTATTAGAACTTGATATTTATACCGAATTATTTATTAATAATTAAAAGGCATTTCTTTATTATTTTTTTCTTCAAAATAATAAAGTTTCTAGAATAGATAGTCCGTTTTATGAAATATTAAGTAAGATTTAATCATGAGATCATATTAAACATAAGAACAATATTCATAAAGTATACACAGTCGTGCTTTATTGTAAAGTGGGATAACATTAAAACATTGAGACTATTATGTGGATAGACTGATGAACAATCTCACGGATCATGGACAAAAAATTATCAAGATTTCACATATAATTGAATATTATATTTATACAAAATTTCATAAGTTATTCTCATGGTGATAGTGATGTATATCACCCTTCGACTTGAAACCATTATGTACCCTAGATGTGGACTTGGGTATATTATTGCTGATCAAATATTGTTCATAATCGAATGACCATAAAGACAATTGATGGTTCCTCCACAAACCACGATGAGGGACATGAGTGAGCTAGATGGAATTTTCTCATGAGTAATAGGATAAAATCCTAAGGATTCAATATTGAACATGACGAGGGTGACACGACCTATGTCTTGTGTTCAATATAGACATGAAGGCAAAAGGGTAATTTTACACAAAAGCATTATCACAGAAAGATTTTTCCATATCACATGACATTTTTGTGACTTGAGTATGAGTGATGGTTGCTAGATACCGTTCATTATTTATTATATTAAATATGTGATTTAATATCATTTTCAATGCCATAAAAACCTACATGGTCAGCCACATAAGGACATATTGATGAGAGATGAAATAAACAAGTGAAATAAGGAACACCGTAAGGTACGATGTACTTAAGAGAATTACAGAACATCGTAAGGTACGATGCACATAAGTGAATTATAGAAGACTTTAAGGTACAATGCATTTAAGTGGAATACGGTAAGGTATCGTGTGCTTAAGTAAAATACAATACACTATAAGGTACAATTCACTTAAGTAGAATTTTTAGATTACAGCCCACATAAGTTGTTTTATAAATACAATCCTTGTGCAGAAGTTTTCACACTTGATGAAATTTGGTTTTGAATTCAAGTTGTATTCTCTCTCTTTCATACAGTCTTCATTTTTAGCAGCTAGCAATGAGATTGAAGGCACTTTTGTTAGTGTAAAATGAGTATAAGCATTGTTCTTTGTTTAACATTTGTGACCGTTCATCTGATTCTACATCAAAAAATTTAATTGTCATAAGACGTAACTGTTTTTATCACAGGTCATGATCATTCATAAAGATCGACTTAAGGAAAATTTTGGTTTTTATGTTGCATTCATATCGTGATTTCCTTTCACTTTCTATGTTTGGAGTTTGGTTATGCATGTGTGATTTGCTGAAAGTAAGAAAACATAAATAAAGATGAAGAAAGGTTAGACCGATACAAAATTTGAGCTTAATGGGCTAAATAAAATATTAAGTGAGTAACTATAGCCATCAGTTTAGTTCATCGGTTCTTAAAATCTTAAATCAAGAACCAAACCACCTCCATTTTCATTGGATCAGTTTGATTTTTAAACTGAACCATAAATAGTTGTTTTTTGTTTAGTTTTGTTTGAGTTGTGGGTTTGGTCAGTTTTTTGATCCACTTATACCCTTAATCTTGTCACTGCAAAGCAAAAAGAAGTTAATTAATACTAATATTTTTAAGAATTTTTACTCTACTACCTAAAATAGTAAATTATTTAAAATTAATTTTTTTAAATAAAATTGACATTAGTTTAAATAATAATATAATTTATTTAGATTTCTTTAACTTTAAGCACATATTATTTACTCTGAAAATTTTTGTTATGATTTTTTTGTTTATTTAAAATGGTGTATTTTGTAAAATTTTAGAATATTTATTTAAAAGAATATGAAATATTTTGTCTTTCACAATAATTTAGAATATTAATATGATTAATTGATTTAATCTTGAAAATAAAATTGTGCAAATGGCAAACCTATTTCATTTGTTAGTTATTATATTTTGGAGGTTACCATAAGAGAACATTTTTATATTTGAGACTTTCTTATGAGCAACAGACCTTGGGAAAGACACGCCACGTAATCACCTAAAACCTTAAGGTGATAGGCGTGTGAGTTCTCTCGCTTATAAATACCCAAGTCTCCACTTTTCTAATCAATGTGGGATTTCCCCACACAACACTTTCAATTTACACTTGTTTTTATCAACACTCCCCTCAAGTGTAAATCTATCCCTAATATTCCTATGATAAGTGCCAAAATATGGTAAAAGAACACATTGAATGATGACACTTACTAACTTGTTAAGCAAGTTTCACGTATTAAAACTGCAGAAATTGTGAAAATACTAGCTTAGTAGGATAACAATTGGTTTTCACATTGTGCACCTAATTTCAATGTATTTTATAGGTGTTTTTAGCAAGATAGGATATTAGTTCAATCAAAGCAAGAAGAAAAGTTTCAGTAACCTCACTTAGCGAGCTTAAACGAAGGAAAAAGAGAGCCTCAGAAGCAAGGGCCAAGCGGGCTCAGGGCAAGTGATGTCAGAATGTCTCAAACCTTCATAATCAATATTCTTTCCTAGCGAGACTTAGCGAGCTTTAGGCGAGTGGAGTCAAAATGTCTCAAACCTTCAGAATCACCATTCTCGCCTAGCGAGACCCAGCGAGCTCCAGTGGAGTGAAGTCAGAATGTCTAACATTACTAAGATCAATCGTTTTGCTTAGTGAAAGCTAGCAAGGTTAAAGTGAGAAATCTCGCTAGGCGAGCCAACACTCGTTAAGTAAGGCAATGCAGTTTAATGTTGATGTGGCATAAATATTCATAGTTAAGAAAGGTCATCTCGTTAGGCGAGATACTAGGTCACTAAGTGAGAGAAAAAATACCATTCAAAACATAACCAAAATACTTATCATTTTTCATTGACAGAAAAACATAGAAAAAATAAGGGAGAGCCATAACTTGAAGGATCGAAGGTGGACACACAATAATTGTTGAGAAATCAACATTGATGCTCATTCATCTGTATTCTTCTCATTTCTACAAGGATACCGTGACAATGAGTAACTAAATCTCTCTCTCTCTCTCTCTCCCTCTCACTTTCTCTCTCTTGTTGGGATTATATGTAATTAACTGTAATCGCGTGTATCTATTTTGATCATTGTTATATATGAATCAGTTATTCATCAATATTGATATTATCCTTGTTTCAATTATTTAACCTTTTGAATTTGAACTGTTATTGAGAAATATCATTTGAATCTTGATTTAGGATAATCATATGTTAGAAGCTTACTCTAGAGATAGGTTTGGATCTGACAATTATTAAAAGTATCGATCCTTAATGCTACTTTATTGATTAACAGGCTGAGAGATTGTCATTTAAACAATACAATTGAATTTCCAACATG